AAAAAAAAATTAACCATGCAAATTTTTTTAAAACTCTTCTCAATTTTGCTAATTTAACGTGAAAAACATCAAAAATTATCGATTGCTGATCGGAGATTAATCGAAAAATAAATTACAAATATTTAGAGACACGTGAATTTCTCTTTCTCTTTCCTTGTTCGAATATTAAGGCGCAGTCATGGCCTGCCAAATTTATTCCCTTTCCCTGGTGCCCCGTGTCGGGGAAAAAAATTCCAGACGCCGGATTCGAAGGTGTGGAATGCCAACAGCCACGAAAGACTCTCCTATCTCTTTCTTAAGGAAAGACGAAGGGCCGCACGCGTATGCTTGGCCGCTCTGACGCACGAAGAACTGCCGTGAACAGAAACCAGACACGCCTGTAACATTAAACCCGGTCGTCGATGAAAAACGAACAAGACTTCCGCGACGGATGGGCTTTTTTAATGACAGATTCGAATCGCGGAGCTTCACGGATCATTCGAAGCTACGTTATGCCACCATCTTTTAAGTTGAGAACACATTACAGCCAGTTTCTCACAAATTAGCCGATTCGACCGCTAATTTTAGCACATCATTTTAACGTCCACTAATCTAACTATTCGTTCAAAGGTATGAATAAGTTTAAAAATGGACATAGTAATTCGATATTAGTTACAAATCAGTCTTTCTATACTATACTTTCTATACACAAATTTTTATCGAATTAATAATCGAATAAAAATTATATGAAAATAATACAAAAGAAAATAAGATGAAAATATTCATAATTTTAACGATTTTTAGATTTGTAGATAATTATCAATTTCTTTCGTATATATTATATATTTCGTTATTTCATTAATAATTATTTGTTTTCTTTTTTTTTGGATTCAATATTTATAATAGTTTATTGCAAAATAATTAAACAAAACAACTCGAACAGTCTCAGTAACCTATATGATCCTGCTGTTTAACCTAATTTATCCTATATATTTTCCCTCCAACTTAACCTTATCAACTTTTTTCAATCACTTTTCAATTCAAAATAAATAATCAATTTTCGTCTTCAAACGATCTAGTACCAACAATTTTCACGATAAGTGAAAGTTTGAATCACTGAAGACATTCAAACATAAAAAAAAAAAATCCCTAAGGAAAAAAAAAATATGCTTTTAATAAGAACACGCCATCTAGCGTCGAAGAATAGATCTTATTCGCGAGGCATTCCGTTCAAAGTTATTCGAAAAGTCTACTATGCTGCGTGTTCGGATTAGTAGCACTAGAGAGATCCCTTATCACTATTTAAGTAATGAGCTGGCACTTAACAGTGCCACTTGTCTTTCACTCTTCTTATATCTCTGTGATCGTCGTCATCGTCATCTTCCTTCGTATATATTCTTGACTTTTTTAGCCCTCTAGTCTCATTGTCAGAATTCGTAGTGTGGTGTGAGACGAGTACTGAAGCTTCGAGTGACAATGAGCAAGCGAAGAGGAACGACCGTCTACTACTGGGAACCGCCATTAAAGCTTGTGCTTCTTTCGGAGCACGTCTGCTATCCCAGAGGGCTTCTTTTCCTCTACTAACAATGCCACTTCGCAGACTTCGCAGTTATCTTCAGCCGGACGATCTTTGGCTACGGCTAGACGATGATGCGTATAAAGAAACGCGATCCAAGAACCCTCTTGAATTTAGTCTTTCGTTGCCAATTGACTCTTTGATGAAACGAATCAATGTATTTTTTTTTTTTTGTAAATTTAGAATAAAAACTACATTATAATATTTTTTTTAAAAAAAGTTAAGTTGGAATATTTTATATTTTTAATAAATTTATATTTTCAATATTTAATAATTTATAATAAAACATTAAAATAGAAAGACACGCATATACACATTCCGTATTCAATACAATTTTGAATTGTTTTAAAACTTCTGAAACGAATCAAGAAAAACAACCAAAAAAGAGCAAAAATAAAAAAATAAAAGCAAAGGGAAAAAAACGAGAAACATACGTTGATACTTCAATTTTAATTGGTTACCTTTCGAATATACTATATTATATTAGCACAGTAACATCGTAGACAATTGTAAACGATAGTCATGATCACAACTGTCGCTGTAGAAATAACCGTGTCAGTAAATGATCGATAAGAGTTCAACCACATGAGCGTATCAATATAATGGAGGTTGTAACGTAACATTAGAATGTATGCAATCAATCACATATTCGATCAATTTTATATCTATGCAACAACATGTAATATAAATTTTATCACATTCGTCGAGCTATCAGTATGCTCGTTGTTACGTCATTTTATAGAATTAACGAATTATAAAAACATTTTAAACGAATTTTTTTATTACTAAAATTTAAAAATTATCTGTAAAATTATTACTATATATTTTTGATTAAGCGTAAGATAATTTAACATTCTTAAATGATATCCTATATCTTTTTCTTTAATTTTTCACTAAAAATATATTAAATGATGGAATATATTCGACGTTCTAAAAAAATTATTTTGAGATTTTTCTATAGAGTTATTAATAAATTCCCTAGGTAAGCAATGAAAATGAACAAAATACCAAAAGCAATAATCCGTCGAAATGCAAAAAGATAAAACAGAACAATTCATTACGTTAATAATAACAAGAGAAACGAAAGAACATTATTACATTTTTGTTTAAATAATTGTTATAACTAAAATTGAAGACAATATCATGAAATGTTTAGTGTTTATTTTCACGTTTTTTATAATTATTGTTCTGCGAATGAATTTATTTCAATTTTAATTAATTTCTCAATATTGAAAATTAAAATATATAATTTATATTTATAAGAAGAAAACGAATCCTAATTTTAAAAAAATTTTATTCTAGACTTTTCATTCTCTTCCCCATAAAAGTCACTTTCTTTCTTTCTATTCTTTGTCCTAACCTATAACGGACTATCTCATATGAATGTACGTGAGAGACGGATAAAATTTTCTTGTCTTTTCTTGTACACTTAAAAACTTTATTACACGATAATGTTTGTAACAACTTAATCACGAAGCAATATTCACAAGAAACTTCAATCACATAACGTTTTAAAAAACAAATATCTTTCCATTTGTTGAATGGCATATGACATTTTCCCGCGCGAATCAACTCGTCACATAATAAAAGATTCGCATTGAGGGAGAAAAAAAAAAAAGAAAAAAAATAAACGAGACAAAAAGAGCGGAATTAAACAACCAGAGAGAAAACTCAAAATGGCATGTCCGGGGTCGAGAGTAATCACAGTGATTTGGCCGACGATTTCGGTCAATCTACATAACTTAACGCGCCTTTCCATTCGCTGGTAATTAGAGTCGGCAATGCTTGCTTTGTCTCAGCCGGCAACGAAAAGAACCGATCCAACCACCGATAAGGAAACCTTCGAAAAGATTGGATCTTATGGAAGAGTATCCCCTTTAAAAAAGCTTATTTGTTTTCAAGTTGTGCGACACAGAAAAGAACATATCCATATTCTCTTTGTAATTTTATCTACATATGTATTCGATCATCGTTCTTTTTACACATTTTTATGTATAAATTTGTTGGTAAAATTATCGATTAAATGAATTACGCATGAAAAAAAGGAATATGAAAAGAATTAGAATTATTATATCAAGAGATACAATTATGTATCACATACGTATATGTAGCGAATGTATTAATTAAAAATTCACAAAAAAAAGTGAAATCTTAATTACACATTCGGAAAATAAAACAGATAATAATACAAAAAAAAAAAAAAAAAAAGAAAAAAAAACTATATATAATGACACATGGACCATGACACGTAAAAAATAATTTTCATTTTCAAAGTTCGTATTAAGAAATATACATTATATACATTATATGTATTGCAATATTATGTTTAAATGCGTGTTTCGTCGGTAAAAACGGAACACGCAGTCAGTGAATATATATACATGTCGACTACAGGACGTGAATTTTTTGCGTTTCATCTTCTAGACCGCGTGAGAAGAAACGTTAGAGAATCTCTGATATATCAGGATACGGGACACTGCGTTTGTTCTAGGCATATACAGATAGGCCACGCATGGACGAATGAGAACTCATAATCCGGTATATAAGGATAATCTTGATTGAAGATGTTGCTAGTAACGTGAGATTATAAAAATTAATTGTCGTTCAACCGCGAATCCTGCATATATTCTTATCTTTTATTTTTTCTTGGACTACTGGAAAAATGCTATCGTTGTACGATTCTTTTTAACGATTAAAGTCTTTTTATTTTTATTATATTTTATTGAAGTTTACAAAGAGCAGCGTGTGGAAGAATGATTTTTTATTTTAATTTAATATATATTACTTTATCTCACATACTTTATTTTATGCCTTATTTAATAAATTAAATTATTTTCATTTCATAATTTGACTCGTCCTATTCAATGATTTAACTAAGTTTGATGACACGATATATTAATACGTTTTATTAAATATTTTCAATGCTTTTCCGATCATTTTAACTGTAATATTATTCCGGTAAAAATATATATAAATATTGATCTTGGAATTACGAATGAATATGGATAAGATAATAATGAAAATGATAGAAAATTGTTATTAAACTTGAACTCAAGGAACACAATTAGCAACAAAATGGCATTTAAACGTGAATGTTAACGCGCAAAAGAGTATAAATAAAAAAAAAACATCACTCACCAGTGCCCTTGATACGAAGTCTTAACAAGCTTCACTGTGAAGAGGAACTGTATAGCGCAAACGAGGAGACAACAAAGATTCAAGGAGAGGGCGAGGGCGCACAGCGCCAATGTCACCTCGTACACAATCGTATACTCCTCCGGGCTGATCAGGCTACTCGGCGTCACCGTTAACGGTGAAATCTTCAGCAAGAAGATTAACGAGAGTAGTGCCAATAATAACGACACCAGACACAACAAGCCTAAACTGGTCAACGTCTCTTTCGCTCCGGACTCGTGGTCTTTGTGATTCCTCGATAGGGACGAGGACCAGGAGGCGTTCAACGGGAACGCCGTGGAACCAGCACCGGTCAACTGACCGCCGACAGTCGTACCTTGGAGAACAGGTGCAGGTGAAGGTGTCGTCTGACTGGGTAACCTGGACAGTCTTGAAATATCGAAGCCTCCATTCGCTTTGGGTCTGCTATCTTGATGCAACGGCACCTGGGATACTACTGTGTGCCCCAAAGTCGACACGTTGTTATTATTGTTATTGTTGTTGTTGTTGTTGTTGTTGTTTCCACCACCGACAGGACTAACACTATTCACCGAATGCTTCGACGTGGACAACGTGGACAAGTTAAGGGCATGGGAATGATTTAATCGTTGGGACAGATTGTTCACGCTCAATTGGGAATGATTCAGAGGGTGTCTGTGAGTGGACGATGGCGTCGTGGCAGCTTGATGCACGTTCCCTCTCTGATGGACTACAGAGTCGTAAACGTCGACCCCCCGTCCTTGGCTTCCTGTTCCACGAACGTTGCTGCTTTGGTTGTAATGAAGGTGTTGCTGCTGATCCTGTTGGTGACTGGAATGATGGTGATGATGGTGGCCGCCGTGCAACGAGCCCGAGCTCGCTTGATAATCATTGTGCTGGTGCCTGGAGCCCGCTGACGACGGTTGCCCCGTCAGGATGTGTTTCAGCATTACTCGATGCTGGATTGTCAGAAGGAAGATTGCCCCTCTACATGGCACCACGCGGCATTTGTTTTGTCGATATTGGAAATTTTTTTTCTTTTTAATTATATAAAAAATTTTTAAAAATTCTTTCTTTCTTTCTTTCCTTCTTCTGATTAGTTACACGTTGAATTTCTGTGCGATTTTTTTCGTTTTTTTCTTGGTCCTTTCTTCTTTTACGAATTTTTCAACGCACGAATAGGTTCCTGGACTTAGGGAGTTGCTACACACCAGCTCCACCATGGCGACGGCATTCAATAAGCAGTCTACATCTCTAGCTACCTTTCAGCTCATGCCTCGGAATAGTTTAGGTGAATTACTTCGTAATGAAGCATGAGGACAGGGGCCATCGTCTTTAAAGGCATGATTATCCTATGATTCGCTTAAAGAATACGTTATCTTACTCTTTTAATAAATTCTAAATAAAAAAAATTATTGTACTTAGGTAAATACTTGGTCCCAAGAACCACTTTATTTTGGTTCTTTGATTGACGTTTTTATTAATTAAGCATTGAATTATATACTCGTGCATAAATATCTTTTTCTATCCATTTCTCGTTAATAAGTTTGTCGTTTCAGCTTCTATTTACAACTCGTAAAAATTAATTCGGTTCTTCGCGACGGGAGACGTTAATAAAATCATTGGTATGAATCATGAATAATCACACCAATATTTTTCTGCGATTATTCGATACGATTCGTTTCTAACTCCAAGAATTTATTCGCGCTCTCGAAGAGCAAAGGCAACGAGAGCAGTAATCATCGATAATATATTTCTTTTTCTGGCTGATTCGTTTCCTCTTTTTTGAAAATGATCGATGGGTTTGTTTCCTCTTTTCTTGCTTTCAAAACTTGAATCTTGAATTTTAACAATCGGTTTTTCAAACGGTTTCTTAAAGACGAGATTTTTAACGTTCGATCTTCAGCCTCGCGTCGTTAAGGAGGAGGAACGAGAGCACAGGAAACATAGTCGGCGTGAGCATGATTAGATCCGGTCCGCCCGATGACCTTGCTAGTGAGAATAGCGGTTCGTTAAGGTGGTTGCAGCCTTGGTCTGCTTCTATGTCCAGAGAACTCGTTAGCCGGCATGGCTTCCGAGATGCTCCTCCTGGAACAGATTGAAAGAAAATAATTAATCGATTGTATGTATATATATATATTTGAATCGTTAAAAAAATAGTTAGACAAAATTAAAACAAGGGAATAACGATTATTTGAACCGTTCCAGTTGTTTAATTTTTCTAAAAGTTGGAGAATATTCGTTAATTTAATTTTATTGAACAAAAATAAAATTCGCATGGCGCAACAAAAAAAGAAACAAGCGACTGATTCCCATCATTTCGTTGTATTCCGTATGTATACATAATATTTTAGATAGAAGCCTGTTATTAATTTCGATCATTGTCCTAATTGGTTGAATATACAAAAATCACAATTTCAACCGACCAAAAACTGTTTCCCACGCTTCGAGCTTACTAACTAATGTTTGAGTATTTATTTGAACGATTGGGCAACGTAAAACCCTTCCAATGTTACAAACCTATTCGAGGTGTTTAAATTGAACAGTACATATTAGAAGTTAAAAGATAGAATGATAAAGTGTGGAAACGCATTTTATATAAAATTTTATTGTTAAATTAAATAAAAAAAATATAACATAAAATGCATTGTTGTTTATGCTAAATATATGTATAGATGGAAAAAAAATATTTGAACAGAAGATACATTATAGATAAACTTGTTCAAATCGAGTAATTTTCTCGAAATATGTATTCCTGATCTGAAATAACGTTTTTAAAATCTTTCGTTTCCATATAAATTAATTATTTCATATGGAATAATTATAATTATTAAGTTAAACCGAAAACGTTATCAGATCATAATCTTATAAAGTGCCATTTACTCAAGTATAAGAGTCAAACAAACAAGCGAATCGTCACGATAAAAAAAAATTCGCTCGAATACAAAAGAATCTTTTACGACCTACTTCCTTAAGTAGTAAGACGGTATATTTTCCAGTCGTTAACTCCCTCATAATAGGATTTAAAGTGCACAGATACGAAGCTGTAATTTTTCATTATTAAATTAGGACTAGTTACAAAATTGCAACAAATCCTGCCTATTCGCGTTTTACATCATTACGGTGATAAGTACTGACTTGGTTTTTTTTACACGCGGATCATTTTTATTTTACACAAAATTTCAGTTATTAAATTTGTAAAATAATTTTCGAAATGAATATTCTATATAAATGAAAATAAAAAGTTTAAAAAAGAACACTTCAACACTTTATTCCTATTATCTTTCCTATCCTAAATTTTCTACACTGGCCAATACTTAAAATTACATCTCCTGTTGTATCGACCTTCTTTAAAGTTTCCCGCGGCAAGTTGAACACGCATCGGGTATCTTCTCTCTCTTTTTTTTTTATCCCCACTCCCTTTCTCTTTCTGACGGTTGAGAGAACGAGAATGCGCAAAACGCACGGATCACGCAAACGCTTCACGATCTACGAAACATCGCGTGAAATCACCGATCCGATCTCTGTGTGCGTAGTACGCTATAGGGATAACGATTAAATCGACAGGATATACTTTATTGGCTATTCCGTTATTACAGGCCTATTATCTGTGAAGAAATAGTCATTAAGGATCGATGTACACAATGCAACTATGGACTGTCGAAAACGCTTCTGTATTGCATCCACAACGTGATCCAAGGTTTAAAGATTTTAATATAAATAATATAATTTCACCCATCATTTCTTCTAATCAAATTTTTTCTGAATTTTATGTTTCTAAATTTTGATTATTGATGGAAAAAAAAGAAAAAAAGTTTAAACTTTCCACGATCTTTATTTCTTTGTTGACAAACCATCTATCCTTTGACTTTCGAGTTACAAGTTTCAATTATTCCATTCAAAAAAGCAATCCATTCAAAAGGATTATATACAAGGGCTAGAAATAGTTTCTCAAGTAGTAGTTCTTTTCAATACCGTTACATCCGGTTGAAGACTCGCAACGCTCGAGTTAAGGACGCGTCTCGGTCGGAAGATCGAAATTATTTTCTATCGATCGATCGATGGAAACGCTGCACGCGAAGACACGCGAATCTCGATGAAATATTAATTGTCCTTCGAAACGTAATAATGTAACAAGCAAGTTTTCGAAGTGATAAACTTAGTATTATTATAAATCCGATAGATACAACTCTCTAAAATAAAGAAAATAATCAATGGAATTATGAATCACAATTCATTATTTTCATCTTTCGTTCGTGGAAAACTTTTTTATTAGAGCATTCATAAACATTTTGGAAATTCATAAAAAAAAAAAATATACTTAAATACATTGCTTATATTACATTTTTTACATTAGATCATCACATTAGATTTCATTACGATTAAAATATATAATTATCTAGAAAAATTTATAGTTATATTTTTTTCTGAAGTTTTTTCCAGACAGAGAACTTCCTATAGTATTTAATATTTAAATATTTATTATCCCTGTGCTTGTCTTGTTTTTTTAAAAAAAATATATTTAAATAGATTCCTTTTTTATCGACATCACATTTAATTTCATTAGGGATTAAAATATAACTATCTATTTAAGGAAGATATAGTTATATTTTTTAGCAAAATCTTTTCCGGCTAACAGATAAAAAATTTTCTAGAACACTTAATAGTTAGATATTTACAATTAATAACATCTTTCGGTAAGCGATAAAAGTTAATGATATAACATTTATGCTCAAGTAAAAACGATAAAAATCGATAAAGGTGTAAAAGAAATAGCGTATTCTAATTGCCGGATATCGTTATCATTATTAGGTAGATAAGGATGGTATAGGTTAGCTGAGAACTGCCATTCGTGATCATTCTCCATTTACGTTCCAAGATCGCAAGTTTGATAGTCAATGTTTCTTTTCTATTTATTTCTGTTGAATATAATGGCGTGGAATGTTAGGCGAATAAAAAAATATATTGCGATCAAACGAAAATGAAAGTTGATAAATATTTTATTGAAATATTAGAATTTTATCACTATGTATAAACTTTAGCTTACGTTATTTACATTACTATTTCACACGAAAGAGATATAATAGAGATCAATTTCTCAGCTTCTCTACTTTTATTTAAATTTTCCATGTTGCCTCATTGCACAAACCGTATATCATTCGAAGCGTCCTTCGTCACTGGAATCCCACCGCGATTTTGAATTTTGACTATGTAACTTGATTCGATCCCGTGAATCCTCTCACCATCACTCCCTTCTTCCCTACGTTCCAGATCATGTGGCACAATCTTGAACCGCAGGAACAAGCAGAACAGGGTAGGCACGAGGAGAGGATTTACTGAGAGAGAGAGAGAGAGAGAGAGAGAGAGAGAGAGAGAGAGAGAGAGAGAGAGAAGAGAGA